TATTAGACAGAAATTCTAGCACTACGAAGTCTGGCAGATGGATCAGGATTAAAGATTCACCTTAAAGGTATTTATTAGGATGTAATATGAAGAGCTGTGCAATGCAAGTATGTCATTCCATCATGTTAGTGTCCCAGGAGCAGATACCGACACACACAGCCCTGACCCCGCAGCATTGCTGGACGTCAGCAGAGATACCTTTCTGCCAGACAGAGCGTGTTCACTGGCCTGTCAAAGTTCATATTAAGGATAAATTACTAGACAAGCAAAGTCAGGACCCCTGTAGCACAGTGATACTGGAATTTCCTTCAAAATAAACTGGACTGACATACTCTTTTGCATGTTTGGCACTGAGTAGGTTTTTAGTTGACCGAGCAGCATCCATTACTGGCATTTTAACCCATAGTAGATTTATGAGAAAAGCGGCTTTGCTATACTTACTTTATATGCAACAAAACAAGCAGTGGGCTGATGGGATCTGGCTGGAGTCCCCACAGACTCCAGAGAGATCGAGTATAGTTTTGAGAAGCAGAAGAAAAGCTTGTGTGTTCTCATTCAACTGACCAGCCTTTAATGCAGAAAACAATATTAATTCCTGTTCTCCAGCTCCTAAGTTAGTTTGGTTGCTAAGCTGTGTACCTCTGCCCATGTAGAGCTGAATACAGTGAAGCTTGCTGGGGAGTGCTGGCAGTTTGCTAGGTCAGTGCTCCCTCAGAAAAATGGCGCTTTACGAAATCCCTCAATGTCAGATAATGGGTCGATCAGCACTGCTATCGCCACCGATGAATTTACTGCTGTTGTTGACATACAGTCTTAGGCAGTCAAAAGACATGTTTACAGCTATTTATCTAGGTAGTAAGTGCACATTTTCTCAGAACAAAAAACCACAATTTAACATTAGAATATATGAAAATGAAGAGCAACACAATAATTTCTTCTGTTCTCCAAAACGTTACTGAAATCATGTTGGATGACTAGAACAACAACCGCTTCAGTTCCAAAACCTCTCCTCAGGGGCACCCCAGCCATTTCATGCATTTGTTAAATTTCACCATCAGCTCACTTAAGTTAATTAGTTAAAAAAATAACTATATGAAGTATTGATTAGCTATATAATGTGTCCTAGTGGTCGAGTCAATAAATACATGGATGTATTGTATTTCTGCGGGAAATAATGGGGTGATTTTAGCATCATTTCCGAAATGGCTAAGCTAACACACATTGACAGGCATAATAGCATAGTTTTACACCAATATAAAGATCATTTAAACTTCACCTCCTTCGACTGCTTAAAACTTGCATAGTACTGTACATGAAACTTTTTGTTTTGACACAAAACTAAAACAAGTAACTATTAAGTAACAAAGTGAGCTTTCTCAGAGGGAGGTGCATTAACTTGGTGGCAGTACTGTTACTTCACACCTCCTGCATCGGGGGTTTGAATCCTAGCCCTGCTCTCTGTGTGTGTGGAGCTTGCCTACTCTCCCCATATCGTGTGGGTTCTTCCTGGAAAAAAGTCAGTTAGATGAAGTCTCTCTAAATTACCCGTAGTGTGTGTGAGCCCTGCCACGACTGGCATTGCATCCAGGGTATTAGCAGCTAGTGCTTGGGGATTCCTGAAGCCCACTTTGGGAATATGCATGGATGGATGTCAGTTACAGATATATGCATTACTCTGCTATATTTAACTACAGGTTTGCAAGACCAACATATATTGTTTCTTCATTTATTATGCAAATTAACCGTGGGGAACTCGGACCACCTTGTCATTATAGGAAAAATATCTCCATTGCCTAAAATGATTATACAGACCCAGTGAACTCAAAAACAGGTGTTTTGTAAAAATAACCCTCTCCCAGTCCATGTTATGAAATGTGCGATATGTATACGACCTGCTGGACTGTTCATGCTGTTCCAACTTGTTAATTTCACCTATGAAATTAGGACAGGAAAGAAGGAAAAACCAAATCTTTGTAACATTCTCATTTTCAAAATACATTTATTGAGTTTTCCTTTTCATCATTCACCATGTGCTGGCAATAAAACACATGCTTCAAACATGCCAACCCATCAAGAAGTAGGTCAATTGAACAGACCTGCAAAAACATGTACTACACACAGAAAGTTTACTTGTGATTGGTTGTAAGGTCTGGTGCACCACCTGTATTCCCTCTGGTTTTGTCTGAGGCTGATGTTAAGCACATAGAACATGATCATAATAGGGCGCTTTTCCACCGCACCAGGTACCGTACTTTCGGTACTTCCATAAAGTACCAAAAGTATGGTACTTCTTTTGTGTCGGATTTCCACTGGCGTAAAAACTGGTACCGGCGCCAAATAACATCATCAGTGACCGCCCCTGACTGACAGCATCACAAAGCGTGGCGTGGTATTTATTTCACTGAGTTCAAACATGTTATGATCCTTCACTATCCTGTAGTCCTGCTTTTTTGATTTCTCAATTGGCATTATTCAGTGTTTCACGTGTGCCCCATTTCTTCCAAACGGCTTGCTATTACGGCAAACACTTTTTTATTTCGAGTCATGCCATCCAAATCCCGCTGGCTCTGTTCATCGTACCATATGGCAAAAGTACCGTACTTTGTGCGGTGGAAAAGCGCCCACAGTTGCCAGAAAAGTTTTAAAAAATCCAAAACCTAGTTGTACATGTTCTATAACATCTAAACATTATAACCGATGATGCAAAATTTCTGCCACTTACCTATTCACAGCTTGAGAGGTGAATCTTTGCAGCATGTATAGCAACAACCTCAAAAAGCGTTGGGGGCCATATTTATTGTGGAAAAAAATATGGTTAATTCAGTCAGTAATCACTAAATGTCACCGTTACTGGGTCGTATATGGTACAATGGGCTGTAAAGCAAATTCTTAACTTTGATGAGTGGGTTGAATGTAAGGCATAAATAAAAGGAAGGGTCGTATATGACCCCATGGGTTCCCCAGGGTTAAATCTTTAAGTACCTTATCACCGAAAGGTTCTTAAAAGATTGACACCATTTAGTAATAACAATTGAGATTTCATTGCTGAAATGTTGTTGTCCATTAGTTAAGATGGTTTAGCAAAGCCAGCGTAGCTGTCCACTGTACACACCAAAGGACATTAACCTCCTGAGGAGAAGCAGCCCACTTCGTACCTTCTCGAGTCCCTATGCATTGCCATGCCACCCTAGCTGCGATCGGTGTAAAGGTCAACATACTTACAGCATTGAACCATTTCTACTCTGCAATCCTCTTCACTGATACAGGCCAGTCACAGAATCATTTGAGCACTTGTATAGGTGGCATCAGCCAGTGTTTTCCCTGAATTATGTGGTTATAAATGGTCAAAACGACAGATGACAGCTCCTCGGGGGTGTCCCCGAATCACGCTGGACCATGTCAGATACACAGCTGCTGATGTGAACAAACTATGACCTGTAACTGAGGTGATGTATGATTCAGCCAACCATCAGCAAGGATGGCTGGGTGTCGTTAAACAGACTGAAGAAGTCGGAGAGGAGAATTTTCATGATGTTATTTGACTTGGTCACGAGCCCAGTCCAGGATATCATCCTCTGTACGTGTGTGTCTAGTTTGTGAACTGTAGTGGATCTAAGAAGCCAATCACAAGTGGGTTGAGATGCAGGACGATATGGGATATGACATATTAAGCCTCTGGTCTGCAGTGATTTGGGACTCTAGAGCATCTCTTCTTGAGCACAGGGACCCTGCATGTGATTTTAGGCAGGGGATCTTCGTAGTTGTAGGGACAGGTCAATAAATATTCATAAAGGTTCATAAATAGTAATGTTGAATAGAGTATTACAGGGATTTTAGACCAGAATGACTCTGAAAAGGTTATGGTTTTCAATCTCAATATTCTTAGCCATATACATATTCAGTATTATATATAAATTATCACTTGTCTTTAATTTGAATTCATGCAGTCTTACAGATATTAGTACATAAACAAAACAGGTATTCTGCTGTACTGGCTAGAGATTCATTCTGAATAACCATTCTTACATTTCTCAAACCACAAACGACTCCCAGTAAGGATTTCGACAGGGAAGTGAAATAGGTAAAACTGTCACTGAGACGCGGACATGCCGCACCATGCTCCGGCAGCTGTCCTAGGTCTAAGCGTCATCAATTGGGGGGGGGGGGGGGGCACTAAAGCTGGGGGATTTTAGAAGAACAAGTTTTGTAACTCATATGCGCCAGCAATCCTGGGGAACCATTTACTGACAACTGAAGCTACACTGCCACCTTCTTCAAAATGCTACCCTTAATTGGGCTGCAGCTCGAAAAAGTTAACAGCGGTTTAGAAATAGTTTTTGATTCCTCGTGGACTGTATTTTCCACAAGGCTACAATCAACTTCTCCTGCATCTACAGGCTGGCCATTTAATTTAATTGCCAGTTACATATTTCAGCCCTCATTTATGTTTGTTTAGTTTTAATTACACTCACCTTCATGGCTAGAATGACACTGAACATTAGTTGTGAAATCTTTAACAGGAAATAAATTGCTTTATTTAACTATTAAGTATTTCTTAAAGATCTAGCCAAGGATACTTGACAATCACAACACCAGACATGAATGAACTTCATGTACAGATAATGAGGCCATAAATAATGTGATAAAGGTCTTACTGGCTATACTGGTGAATTTACTGAAAGATGATAAAACCAGTTTTATCTGAAGCCTATAAATGCAGTCTGTGGGAATGTGAGAAATTTGGGAAGGTGTTCCTCCTATTATGCTACAGAATGTGGAAATCACAATCAAAAGAGACATTTTTCAGGCATTTAATAATGCCAAGTGTTTTCAAACACTGACAGCTTAAAGAAATAAAGAGTAGGTTCGAAATGTATAATCTTTAAAATCTATCAAGATGTAGGTATAAAAGGTTTTAAGTGTAACTTAAAAGGTTGTAAAGATGAATTTGAAGCTCAAAATCTTACTGCTTAATTGGAAGGATAAAATCAGTCAAGAACTGTTGTAAGAGCTTGTATATTTATTGATCTATTACTAATATAGCCAAACGAGAATACGTGATATACTTATAGTGCATTATTAAAGGTCTTGTAGTAACAAAAGCTGGCATTAATCAATCATACACAGTCGTTGATACAATATACCTCAACTATTGCAAAATTTGCTGGATAATCACTGGCTATGTACAAAACGGCATTCCTATTCTAACAGAGGAAATGACAATTGCAAGGAACAATTACAAATGAAAATTAAACAAAAAAACATGCAGTTAAGAAAACAGAATTAAGGAGATATCAGGACAGGCTGGGAGGGTCCCCACGAGAAACACAAGGTGACAGAAAGGAAAGGTGGGCTTTCAGGTTTATCATATTAGAATCGTATATGGTATGAATTAACAAGAAGCAAGGACAAAACTGCAAAATCTGCACGGTATCGTATTCAATATTCAATCACTAGCAAAGCAAAATTAAGCTTTTTGGTTTGTTTTTCCCCCCTTAAGGACACACCCAAGATTAATTACAAAATTATTCAAGTAGTTTATTCATGGAATTGCAGATAATTAAAAAGATGGTGATGAAAGCACTGCACTGTTTTTTCTTCTCTCTGCACCTTCACACCTCTCTGTTCTGACATTGCCTTCGGACAGAGATTCAGATGCGTCGTTATTACAGTCAGACATAGTACGACACGTAGCTCTGCGGCATCAAGCTGTAGCGCTGGCGTGAGAGGTGGTGCTACTATTTTGAGAAACCTAAAACCCAGCCGGGCCGGGGAACAAACGGCATTCTGTTCGCCCCCGTCTAACTTTGGATAAACGGCCTTAGTTCAGAATTTTAGTACACTACTACATCGCATGAACAAAAATTAAACGCGACTCCAATTTCACATTCTACTTGGGTTTTGCCAAATCTCTCTGGTGACTGCATTCTGCCAAATCAGCGTCCTTCTGTCCAATTAATTTCTTGAAATGAAATTCAACAGAACCTAAAATGTACATTTGATGTCTCACTACACATCTGATCCATGATGAATGCTAAGGTCAGACACTGCCCATTTTTTTTAACCAAGTCCATAATGCTTAGGACTACACATTGAATCCACATATTGGTATTAAAGGGAAAGTATTAAGATTGCAGTTTTGTGATTGCTCCTATTCATATTTCACAAATAACCTTGCATGGTTGTCTTTTCTCAACTTTGTTGTTTTTTGGTTCCTTGTTTTTAATCTTACACCCAATAAGAAAGCCACACAAAAAACAGCAGAAAAAAACAAGTCAATCCCGACCTAGTTACAACAACCGGACAAAGAACCGATACCTTCTTAGAACATGAAAATATAAAATAAAACCCATCTGAGCTACCTTACCAAGGAGCAGGTAAAATTCCAAAATAGCACCATTTATCAGTGTCTCAAATCCGTGGCAGCATCTCAGTCACTTACCACAAGGAAACAATGCATTTCTACAGCTACTTCTATACATCACAACATACATGTGTACCATATGGATTTATACAGGCAAAAGAAAAAAATAAAAAGCAGAAATACTAACAACGACAAAAAAAGAAGGAATTAACTACCAAGCATTTTGTTAATTACTGGAAGGTAGGGACTCTCAGCCTCAGTAAAAATCCTGTCAAGAGTGAAACTGGAGAGAGAAAGACCCAGCCATTCTGTTGTGTACAGTGAGAAAGTGGAAGACATGCTGCTGCAATGGTCTGCAGGCCCCAAGGGACCACCTGTGGAGTTTGTAAACACGGACAACTGGTTCAGTCATTGTTGTAACTCAAGATTCCGGCCTCGAGTCACCTGGTGTCGTTGAGTGTTTGCCCAATGAGATTTATGCATCATCAAGGCTCAGAGTCCCAAATATACCTACAGGTTATCAATTACATTAACTGACAAGGGAGAAAACACCCCAAACGCGTCATGATTTTAACTAAAGTCACACACCAATATCTATCAGAATGGAAGATACATGATTGAAAAAAAAAATAAAAAATATACAGAGGGTACTCCCCACCCTCCCCATTCCTCGATTTGATTGCAGGCGTGTTTATCCAACGTCAGATAGGAGGAATGTTGGCTCTGCATCGACGCTTCTCTTGAATGAAGAAAAACTGCAGAAGTAGCTACAGAAATAAAAATAAAACGTCTGATTACAAACTATGCTAAAAAATATGTATGGTACGCGTATTGGGATTTTCACTCAGGGTAAAGCAGTGTATTAAGTGAACAGAATTCTCCAGCAGCATTGTAAGGATTTAAACCCCATAGAAATTATATAATTCACCATCAACTGTCTTCAGAGAATACATAATTTGGATACAATTTAATAACAGTTTTTAAAACTTATTTATAAATGGCCTGTTTACTAAAGTTGCCTGAAAGGACACAATTGCTATAGCGATGTCTTAATTGTACACTGGTTGCTGGATATGTCTGGCCCACACAAATATTTTATTGTTTGATTAAAAGCAAAAGAAAAACAAAATCAAATCAACAACAGATGGCTTTTTTGCAAGGAAAATTTAGGGCTGTTAGGTAATATGAGAAAAAAGTTAGTAATAGGGCTGTAGAATTTCTATAGCTTCAACTGAAAATTTCTTCAGGTCATTAATTTCTATGTTAGCCTTTATGAAAAAACAAACGGCTATATGAAACCTCTTTCATTCACAGTTTCAATAGTGGGCATCATAAAAAGCCTTTCTTTTTTTGCACAAGAATTAATCTACACTGATCCCAGTTTAGCTGCTTCCGATCCGACGCCTCAATTGAGATGGCAGATTTCATTACGTACTACGGGTCAGCTGGCACTGTGCGGCGGAGTAAGAGCGTGCTAGAAACTCAGTTAAGTGCTAACTGCAGGAAAAGGGGCTTTCTGCAGATGAATGAGAAACTGACAGAAAGCACCTACGCTCAGCCAGAGAGGCGAGGCTGACTGTCTAACTGAAAACCCTCACAAAAGCCAATTATGCCATGCTTTTTCTAGGCACAATGAGAACATAATGCACATTAGACATAATAGACCAATGGCAACTTGTATAAATTCTGACACTTTTTTTTAACAGGCTACCAAACTCTTCTTGATTTCTGGATGTTCTTGGCCTATTTTAAACAAACAATACAAAAACTATTAAGCATGCTAGCCATTTACCTCTGTGAATTCTCCATTATGGTTGCTGGTTTCAGTTCAAAGCAGAATCTGTTACCTAGAAGGAATCATTGCAAATTGTAAGTACTTGTCAGCAAATATTTCATTCCCTTACACAAACTATCCCAAAGTATTCCATTTATCTTTACAGAGAGAGTATTAACACTGTTCTAACCACGCCTCTGATTTTTCATACTTGTACAGAGATAGAGAACATTCTGAAAGCAGCCTAGAGTCAAGAAACTCCAAAATGATATTGTGATATACGATTGTTGGACATGACACCATGAAGCAGTGAAGTAACGTATTACTTTCCTGTTTCATATGTCTAGTAGCCAATTAGTAATCGTTCAGTGTTTCATGGACTGGGAGTGCCCTTGTCTCTTTACCCTGCATTTTTTTTCTGGGAGTGTGGAGGGAGCAAAAACGTAGAGCGTCTGTGGGTCCCCAAGGAGTAGATTGGGAAACACCGGGCTGTGACATTACCAGCATACTACAAGCCAATTACACCTGCATTGCACAAGCAAATCACACCTACTGCATTGGCCAATCCTCAGGTCACACAAAGTACAGCACACAGCAGGGAAAACGCCAACATTTAAACTATATAATGAAACACATATGAATAATGTACATGTGTGATTGGGGTGATGGAGCAGTTTTAATTACCCCAGCAAATTCCCGTTGTTTTTGATAGCTTATATTCTCTCTGACTTAGGACACTAAATACTGCACAGGAGATGCGGTCAGTGCTTACACACTATGCCAGTTTGTTACAGCACTGTATTTGAGCAGAAAGTGATTGGCACCATACCTGAAATAAACTCTCTTGTAGCATTAGCAAAGTATGTACAAATATTCACTATACTATTACATCGGGGGGGGGGGGGAGAAAGTGTTTTTAAAACATTCCTGTACAACTTTGTTTGCGAAAACATCCCGACAGTTTGTTTTTAATCAACGATTTAGCTGGAGGTCAACTGAGGGCCGCTAATGCATTAAACATGCATACAGTCATGTTCCCCCGAAAGTGTATTGTAAACTGATGCAATAGTACTAAGGTGATTAGCTGGCCAACCTCCAAAGCTATTCAACAGTTATCCACCCTGTAAAAACAAGGTAATTAAAATCTTGCAATATTGCCAAAATGTGATTTAAGTGCCATCTCTCAATAAACCTTGGTAAACACCTAAAGATGACTAGTATTGTTCCATTACATAGTTTTTTTTTGGAGAATCTCCACTGGCTTTAAATTTGGGTTCAGATAGTCAAATCCATCTCATTCCACCTTCACAAGGCCATAGAACACTTTAAGCTTAAGTAAACCAGAACAATAGATTCCATTACCTAACTCAAACTCAGTTATCTTCTGAGCCACAAAGATTTTGTTCAATAAAAACACTAATAACCACTACAGAGGTACAGGAGTAGTCACAAAACGTAAATGGACATGTAAAACCTACTCATTTTCCCTCCAGCAAGCTAGCTGCGAGATTTAGGAATGCATTATTATAATTAAACTAACCACTGAACTAAGAGCATAGCTACATTACTTAGCTAAAGACATTAGCAGATACTGTCCCCAAAAATCCTAAAGAGCATTGCAGTGATTAACTCATTTTCTTTGGCATACACAACCACATAGTTGAGATTCTACTTTGCACACTAATTTAGAAATTTCAAAGTCGATAACCCCATGGACAACAGTACAACCCGAAAGGAATGTGAGTGCCAGACTCACACCTGTAGAATAAACATACAAGACATTAAACAGCATACACTCATCAGTTCTGTTTATTTAAGTTTGATACTCAGTTCATGCATAGAAATGGAATGGTATCTTTACACTGGCAGATGCCATTTGATCGCAGCAGCTGTTAAAGAATATGACAGGGCATGTTCCTCCCTTGGTGGGTGAGATGTTCTTTTGGTAGTTCTGCATTAAAATACCAATGTTACACAATTTAAAATAAGATAGCAGATTAGACAGATTTAACGTTACGGACTTAGTGGAGAGAGGAAAAAAGCCATGACAAACCATCGTATACCTTTAAATTGCATTCACAATATTTTAGCTACCAATTTTCATAGCAGTGAATCATATCATGTCTGAAATAATCCTGGACTGACCAATACAAATATTTTCTCCAAAAGTTCCTTAAAATTAAACAAAATGAACAAATAATTATCATACAAAAAAATCCATAACCGTTAATCAAGAATGCTTCAGTTCAACGTGATAAAAATACAAAATGTAAGAAAGTGCTTAGGTTTAACAAATCTTCATACTTCAACACATAAATGCTGTGCATGATCGTGCAGAACATGCAGTCATACAGGATATTCCTCCAAGTAAACCGCATATGGTCATTACAGTAGGCAGGCCACCTGTTAGGGGCCCATCCGCTCTGCTGTTGCAACTTGGAGTCACTCCAAACCCTGTGAAACAAGGTCATTTTTTCCCCCCTCCCTCCCTCCCTCCTCGCTTTTCCCCGCCTCGCCAGAGGCTGCCTGTTTGCAATTGAGGCCATGTGAACCCAGTGAACCTCCCAGCCTACAACATGGATCTCAGATGCAGGGGCTGGTTAGCTCGGCTGACCCCAGGCACAGACTCCAAACACGAAGACCCCATTGTTTTTGTGTCAATTCCCGACAGACTTTGCCATGTTGTTTAACAGAAACAATAAAACAAACTACTTTTATATAATGCACATATTCCAGATAGGTGTATGTCACAGCAAATAACATAACCTGCCATGTAGATTATATGAACCCCTCACAAAAAATATATTTCTACCAGTAGAAATATACTATAAAAAATTAAAACATTATTAAACTACTACTTAAGTGCAGACATTTGCAACAAGTTTCATTATAAGGCCATGTTTCTGATACTGAACATTTGAAGGGTTCATTGACCAAGATGAGGTATATTATAAATAGGGCTGCACAATATTGCCTCACGATATGTGAATTATCCATGAATATTGCAATATTTAAAAAACAAAAAAGGATATATATATATATATATATATAGAAATAAACTATAGCCAAATAGAACTTATGTACCAGTTAAGTGTCAAACAAGTTGGTTTTGCAGAGAGTTGTGTCAACAGGCAGTAACAATGACAATGCTGAAACGATATATTGTGCAGCCCTGATTACAAAGTAATGATTATCGATCAGTTTTTATTCTTAAATATAGCCCATGCATCCTATTAAAATCACCCAGTAATCATTTCTGTAAAACTACATAATTTCAGATTAATAATTAATTTCCAACCATATGAAAATGTCAACAGATCAGTAGACTCATGACTAACCCTATACAAAATGAGGAGACAGGAAGTGACACAAAGCTTTTGAAGTTAATTCTTTGTTCACTTTCTGCTTACGACCTTTGTCTTCCTTGTTTCAAAATGTCAGATTTGTTTGCCAAACTAAAAAAATGAAAAATTCCACAAACATTGGTCTATTTCGGTTTTTGTCTTTGTAGCCAATTACTGTCTACTTTAAAAGGCGCAACAGAAACCATTGCACACAAAGGAAATACAAGAACACGTAAAATTAGAAACAGAAGTATTTACTGAATCTGTGGGCAAAGATATTTTGACAGTTTGGGAGTAACCACTGTTATAAGGTATTTTCAAATGAAATTCACAATCAAATCTGTGGAAAAAATTAAAAGATATATTTACAGTAAATATGGCGGAGGGGACAATAGTCTGAAATTGATTATTTAATTGCCAACTAATTTAAGGTAAAGGTATGGGATTTAAAACGTCCTTACCATGACAACCTTCAGAAGGAGCAGAGCAATTGCAGTGTCTATCGATTTCAGAGGGCAGCCGACTGAAAAAAGAGCGGCAGTCATTTTCAGTTTATCATAAAGGTAACACATCGCCCGTATGAATGGGCGCCTTTCCGCGGAAAAAAAGGCGCCCGATCTGCGTTTACATGTTGCCAGTCATCGGCTGACGGCTTGGCCATTTCTGCTACAATAATCGTTACCAAATAAAACGCTCAGAGGTGAGGCATGACTTCATCTGTTTTTGCGTCTAAATATAGGACAAAGCAAACCGTGCAAGCCGTTCTCCATGCTCATTCCCTGCATAATAATCATATTAATACTAGTAACAATAATAATGAAAACGCCGCGACACCTTTATTCAATGTCCATGTGGACAATGCACTGCTCCCGCAGACGGTTATCAATTACCGGTTACATCTTTGCTGAACCCCAGTCTGAGGACACGGCCAAATACAGTAACAGTGGCTATGCAGCCGCTGACATCACACAGCCCAGTATAGGTGTCCAGCCGGCGCATATTTAACCCGATTACTTATTCAAAGCGAGAACGGCCAGCTAGCCGGCTAAGCCGGGCTGCCACACGGGCGCACACCCCGCTTAACCCGGTTCTGAGCTGGCGACAGCGGCTGCTGTGTGCAAGTCGGCGGGAGGATGGGGGAGACACGGAAACCTCTCTGTCCCGGCACAGTCGCCGCCTGCTAGCCGCCCGGAGCCCTTTCTGTGAGGAACAAAGGAGCCCCGCCGGCTGGCTAGCTTCAAAGCTAACGCCACCCCACCCCCTATCGAGCTGCCCTTTCTGCACGGAGTCGCCTTTCACGAAATTAAAAATAATCACCTTATGTATGTGCAAAAGGCGACGCCTTACGTGTGACCATTCGAGCAAACTAAAATATCGAGCGGTAGTGAAACATCGCCGTGCGGGACGACGGCAGAGGGCGACCAGCTAGCTAGCTCCCCCGCGCCGTGCAACCGCCGACCGTGCTCCGGCTTCCCGTCATGAAGCAGTCCGGCGCAGCGCTGGAATGTCAGCCGCCGTACTTGCAAACAAAAGCGCGCCGCCGCCTGTTCCCCCTCCCTCCCGTGACTCACACCCGTGGCTAACGCACCGCAACGCGGACGTTCGGTCGCCGGAGAAGGACTACGGTCGGAGAGCTAACCGTGCGGTCATGAAGCGCAGCCAGGGGAGGAGAGTCCCTCTCCAAGGCTGCGTTAGCCGACTGACCGTGCCTGAGCCGAAGTGTATTGGTAACAATGAGCTAATTCTGATGGCTGCTGGCTGTAGGCCACCCCCCTTTCTTTCTTTTTTTTTTTTTTCCCCTCCCACCCCCCCGTCACTTCAGCACCTCCAGACTGCTTACTCCGCAATATTCGCACTCGAGGTCCCACACCGTCTGGGAGCGCCAAGCGTTCCAATCAGGACCAAGACCAAGCGGCAACCTCCTTCGTCCCAAGAACCACCCGCGACGCGCCGCCATTGGACAAAGGCGCCAACTCGCGAACCAATGGCGGCGGCTGGGATGCACCGTTTCTGTGCGCGTTTCGGCCTTTCGCGGGCGCCCCGTTGCGTCTAGGAGAGATTATTCGAGGCGTGGAAGCAAATCGGGTTTGTGCAGATAATTTCGTAAGTGCTAACACCCGTTTGAAGTTTGAAAATAGCTAATGGGTGTTTAAGATGAAAAATATTATTGCGTGTAGGTGATCGTGGTGCAAAAACACAGCGTGAAAAGCAATTCGCCTTTGTTACATAATTCTCGAAGCATTTCAGATCCTCTCACTACTTTGGTAATGCATCAAACCCTGTAATACACAGTCTGAATGCAAAGAAAGTATGAGTTTTTTTTTTTGAAGATTTTGCATTAGCAATGTTTTCCCACTGCGTTAAAATGTATGCAAAATTACATTAACAGTGGTCTTGATCATCCCTTCAGTCACCATGTCTTAAATCTTAAAATGTAATTTTGGTGTCCGTGCTGAAATCATCCATGATACTGTAGAACAGGGGTGCCTAACTCCAGTCCTGGAGGGCCTTAGCCCTGCACATTTCTGTGTTTCCCCTCATTTAACACACCTGATTCAACTCCTTGTGCTAATTATCACACAGCTCTTGAGCTGAATCATTTATGGTACGTGGAACAGGGAAAGGACTGGAGTTGGACACCCCTGCTGTAGAAAATAACCCAGATAGTAATAGTAAAGCTATTCATGTTCTTTGTCATATGAAAAAGTGGCATTTAAACTATGAGTTAATATCAAGAAAAATATACAGTGGTACCTCAGTACTCAAACTCATTAGAACTCGAATTTCTTAAAAGTCGAACCAACCAGTTCGAAAAAAAATTAAGAACTCAATCTGAATCTCAGAAGTCGAAACATGAACGCCGACCTAAGATAACTTGTATGCATGGGGAAATGAGTCACGCGGCACATCTCTCAGTGGAAACAAAGGGTAACGCTTCAGTCTCAGCCTCGCATTCGCTGTGATAGCATCGTTTGTTGGTGATAATGCTTTTTTATTGAAAATATCAGGTAATACACTGTACTTTGTATCATTTTGGTAGCCATTGCTCACCAAAAAGTTACGCAATAGTTGTACAAATGTTACAACATAAAAGTTTAAGATTTAGAACAAATGAACGAATACAGAGTAATAATAAAAATAAACAATGGACCGCATGGCATAGTCTAGTGTTGGCGCAGTGTCGGGGCATGGCTTGGGGTACATTATCGTTTTGAATGCCATTAAAAAAAAAAAATGTTATGCATGGCGTACAATGTTGGCGCACATTGTACATTAACTTTACACATTGTTTAGATACATTTATTTTCTTACTTTAAAAATTACTGTTTTGATAAATGTGCTTAGATGTGTTTAGTATATGCTCTTCTTGTTTTATCCTGTTCATTTTGTGTTTAAATGCTAAAAAAAACATATTTAGGTGTAATTTTTTTGGGACCAGGAACCAAATAATTGGTTTTCCATTATTTCTTATGGGGAAAATTCGATCAGAACTCGAACTTTTTAGGATTCGAACCCGAGTTCTGAACGGATTAAGTTCAAGTTCTGAGGTACCACTGTATTTAAATAGGCCACGTCTTCTCATTTGGTAGTGTACAAAATTATGTTACATTCAAAGTTTGCTTTATATGCATTTTGCACAAAAGTGGAAGGCATGTCTTAATTATACTGGTGTTAGGTGTTAAGAATAATGGTAGCACTCTTATGTATATGCCAATATATTGTGGTGCTGGTACCAGACATCGTGTACTGGAATAATGAGCTGGATACAAAGAAATGCACAGAAATACTGCCCTTATGTCAGTCACTTTAGCAACACAGAGACATGCATTCTGCCCACTGTGCTGACCATCCCCAGTCCTCATGTTACACACGGTGGGCACACCACTCTTTACAACAATTAACGTTACACATGTCATTAACGTGTGACACAAAACAACTCAATCTATTATAAATACACAGAGCTATTTACACTATTGACACTGCTGGCACCAATCCAGCATGCCACTGCCCAATGGTTATGTCAGTGCTATAATATAAACTGTAAACTGTGTTTACTTGAAATTAAGCAAGACTTTGGGATTAGCGGTATTGAACAAGTAATTCTGTAAATCTGTTGAAGAAAGACAATGAAGCTGTTCTTTGGTAACAGAATATAAGCCATGCTGTTAGGGGAGCTTCAATAAAATGTAAAATTTAGAACCCACATAAATGCTTCAGAGTTCAAGTAGCAGGCACATCTCAATATCAACTGTTCAGCTGGCCTTCAGGACTGTTGGAAAACCATTCCCAATCATACCTCATGAATCTGATTGAGAGAATGCCAAGTGTGAAAGGCTGTCATCAACGCAAAAGGTAGCTACTTTGAAGAATCTAAAATATAAAACATATTCTGGTTTAACACTTATTTGTTTACTGAATAATTCCACGTGTTTCTTCATTGTTTTGAAGTCTTCAGTATTAATGTACTATATAGAAAACAATAAAAATAAAGAAAAACCACAATGAGAAGGTATGTCCAAACTTTTGACTGGCAGTGTACCTCCACCTGCAGTGCATGCTTCCAGTGGTGTCTGTATCTGGCCATTTCACACAAATAAATTTTTGTATAAATAAATGTAATTATACGCATTTTAAACAAGAAATAATAATACATCAATAAATTACAGTAAAACTGGTCTAAGTCGCCGTCTTGTAACTCGTCAATGTGCCTAAGTCGACGCTCAAGCAAAAGTCCTGATTTTTCCTAATGATGTTTCCTTTAAAATTCCTTGTGTAACTTGCTGCTTGTAAGTCGTCAAATTCCCTTAGTCGTCACCTAAATCCCGGTCCCGAACAACACAAATGAATGGATTTTCCTACCTGTATGTCGACACCCCAATCGCTGCATTCCCGCCACCTGCTTCACACCGCCTGCTTGTCACCACGGCAATGTAGAAACGGGGAATCCCCACCTATCGCACTAGTCGCTCCCTGGTCTTAAGTCTCTCGTGTATAGTGCGGTGTAGTAGAGGTATGGTGTTATATTTACTAGTTGGCAAAACGGCGAGATAGACATAAGTCGCCGAAGTGTCGATTTTATAAGTCGGCAAAACGGCGAGTTATATTTACTAGTCGACAAAACGGCAAGATAGACATAAGTCGCCAAAGTGTATCTCGTCAATTCTCTAAGTTGTCACTTTTACGCTGGTCCCGCGAGTGTCGACTTAGACCGGTTTTACTGTATATCATAAACAATCTCCTATGGGTCTTATGAGTCTCATGAGGATTGCCTAGTAACCTCTTCAACCAAGCCTACCGAACTTGTTAACTTGTTGGTTGCCAAGAATCGAGAGTAATGATGACCAAAATGATGCTTTATGAACCATTTGCTGTATTTTCTGACCCACTAGATGGTGCTCCTGGTTTTAGTTCTGGGCATGTTGTTCTGGCCTTTTTGTTTCATGGACAGATATCCAGCAGCTAAACACTCTTCAGTAAATCACTAAGACTAATTTTGTTGTACTGGGCTTTTTACTGAAAGTGCGAAAAGTAATAAAAAAAAAAAAATCACATTTATTCCACAAATTCACAGCACATTCACATTAGAAAATGAAAAATACACACTAATAATAATTACCTATTACCATGTTTTTTTTTTTTACATAATTTCTGCACAAAATTTACATTACTAGCACAAACTATAATTGTCATAAATATTTTAAGATCACCTACAGATATGGTCTTCTGAAGATTAAATGATGAATGTAAATGGAAGGTAGACTGCTGAATTAATTGGACACGGTTATTCACATACACATGCAACATTATGAATGTATCCAAGGACTATCTTACTGTCTAATACTTGGAATCAATCCTGTGATCTCAACTTCCACAACTGCAATGCACAGTTCTAGTCTTGGTTTTGACAATTCTGGTTGAGGTGCAAGCTTAAGCTTTCCCGAAAACGAAGCCAACTGTCATGCCCCGATCGTCCGCTCCTCTCGTGTGCCACGCCCCCTCATTAACCCCATGTGGATTCCCGTGTTTACCAGCTGTTCCCGATCGTTGTCATTAGTCCATTGTATTTAGTCCTTGTTTCCGTTGGTTTCCCCAGTCCGGTCATTGTAATGTCATCCCGTGTGTTGCCTGATCCTGTTGTTGCTGCCTCTATTAAAACCCTGTGTTTGCCCTTTTGGCATCCTGTGTCTTGCTACGCTCCGTGCGCCTTAAAGCGTGACAGAATGACCGTACTCCCAAACAAGACGCCTGGACTAAATGAGGCGGAATACCTCGACCTCGCGGACGAGGTCCTATACTGGCTACGCCAGCCCGAAGTCCGGGAGGATCCCCTGCTTCTGGCTATAGCCAACCGGAGGAGGGACGTTTTAGAGGAGACGTCCCTACCCGGAGTTGTCGCGCACCTTGCGGCAGCTGAGACGCGGGGTAGCGGAGGCAAGCATGCGGAGGGTAGCCCTCGCCAGCGGACGGCCATTTGGTCCGCTCTCTGAGCTAACGGAGGTACCCCAAACGTCGCCGCCCTCCACAGGAAGGCGGAAGAAAAAGCGGAGAAAACACAGGCAGGAAGACGCGCAGGAGGTGTGTCTGGGGGTTCTCTCTCTCTCTGCTGCTGCTTACCCTGCTGCGTGTCGGGAAGAACCCCTCCCGAATCTGGATCCGGCGGTATTCAGGCATGCCGCCATCGCCCCGCCTGAACAAACGCCCGATGCCTGTCCTCCCGCTGCTCTGCTGCCTGCATTGGCAGCTCACCCCTTTCCAGGGAAGCATCTGGCCCTTAAAAGGGCCAGATCAATTGAGGACTCGATCCCGCGGGTCCCCAGGATTCCCAACCGGGCAGCAACCCCCGTGGTCCCTGTGACTGCAGTGCCCCCTGTGGTCCCGGTGCCTGCGGCCGCTTCCCCTGTGGTTCCCGTGTCTGCGGCTGCACACCCAGTGGTTCCCGTGTCTGCGGCTGTGCACCCAGTGGTTCCCATGTCTCCTGCAGCACCCCCCGAGG